AGTGGAAGTTAGAAGAAACCTTGAAACTTGCTCTTAATTGTGGAGTAGCTAAAACAAATGAAAGAAATGATGATTTTTAATAGTGGAATAAAAAATTTCGAAGGGCAGCTTGAAAAGACAATCAAATATTATAATGAAATGTTCAAAGAATTAGGGATAGAAAACCAAAAAAAGAATACAGTTTAAGCATACCTTAAAGTGAAAGAACTCAAGAAAAAATTCAAGCCTCAAGTTGCAATACTGAAAGATTCTAAGGACAAAATATTGAATGATGCAGGAAACATTAAAAGAACATGGAAAGGATACACAGAGTCATTGTACCAAAAAGAACTAGTCAATATCCAACCATTTTAGGAGGTAGCATATGAGCAAGAACCAACAGTACCGAAAGAAGAAATGCAAGCTGCACTAAGAGCATTAGCCAAAAACTAAGATGCAAATATTGATGGATTACCAATTGAAATGTTTCAACAAGCTAATGAAGCTCTGGAAGTATTTACTCATCTATGCCATGAAATTCGGAAGATAGCTAGTAGGCCAACTGACAGGAAGAGATCTGTATTTGTACTCATTCCAAAGCAAGTGACCCAACTGAATGCTCAAATTATAGCACTGTATCACTGATATCACATTCAAGTAAAATTTTGCTTAAGGTCACCCAAGAACAGTTGTAGCAGTACATTTCAGGGAGCTGCCAGAGGTTCAGGCTGGATTCAGCAGAGGATGTGGAATAAGGAATGTCACTGCTGCTGTCAGATGGATCTTGGCTGAAAGCAGAGAGCTAACAGAAAGACGTTTACCGCGTTTCATTGACTATGCCTAGGCATTGACTATGGATCATAACCAACGACTGATAACCTTGAGAAGAATGGGAATTCCAGAACACTTCATCTTGTACATGGATCAAGAGGATGTTCTGCAAAGAGACCAAAGGGCAACTTGAGAAGACAAAGTCAAATCTTATAATGAAATATTCTGGAAGCTGGCCCCCTCTCTATGTTCATCTCCCTGCATGGTTTAAAATCAGGGAAGGTATGCACCAGGGTTGTGTCCTCTTACCATACTTGTTCAACCTGTATGTTGTGCAAATCATCAGAGAATCTGCCTTATATGAAGAATGTGACATATATCCAGATGACACAACCTTGATTGCTGAAAGGGAGACTGGAAGCACTTGCTGATATCAAGGATTACAGTCTTCAGTATGGATTCCAACTCAATGCAAAGAAGACCAAAATCCTCCCTAGACCATCGATAACATCCTTGAAGTTGTCAAGGATCTTGTCTTGCTTAGATCCACAATCGATGCTCAAGGAAGCAGCAGTCAAGCAATCAAAACATGTGATCCATTAGGTAGATCTGCTGCACAAGACCTCTTTAGAGTATTAAAATGCAAGGCTGTTACTTTGAGGTATGCCTGACCCAAGCCATGGTCTGGCATGTAGGGCCAGAATGCTTCCCAGAGGTTAAAGATGGCAAGACTTGTCTTACATACTTTGGACATATAGGGAGATACCAGCCCTTGGAGAAGGACATAATGGTCAGTTAAGCAGAGGGGCAGGGAAAAAGAGGAAGACCCTGAAGGAGATGGACCCCACAGTAGCTGTAACAGTGGGATAAGGTACATGCATTACAGTGAGGGGGGCCGGGACAGGGGAGGGTTTTGTTCTGTTGTGCATATGGTTGCTAGGGGTCTTTACCCACTTGATGGTACTTAACAACAAGCACAAAGGAAGCTGTTGTTAGGTGCCTTCAAGTCAGTTCTGACTTACAGGGCTTCTATGTACATGCCCCCACCCCTCTACTGTTCCTTTGTTTGAGTCCCTTGTTATAGCCACTGTTTCATCCCATCTTGACAACGTTCTTCTATTCATTAGGTTTTTAGTATCTGACAATTTTTTGATGCCATCCAAAGGCTTTCAATGGCTAATTCCTCCTAAGTGGCCAGCCCATTCCTTATTCAGTCTGTTGTCTGAAAGCTCTGCTGAAACCTGTTCACTTTGGGTGACCCTACTAGTCTTTGAAATACTTGTGACATCATTTCTAGCATCATGACACATGTAAGCTACCAGTTTGACAAACTGTCAGACAAGTGGTAGCACAAAGGAAGAATAAGGTAAAAGTCACCTGCCTGGAGTTGATTTATTTATATAACCATCCTCCCCTTTCAAACCCAAATCCATGGCCATCAAGTAGATTCTGACTCATAGTGACCTTAGTGTAGGGTTTTGGAGGCTGTAAATCTTTATGGGAGCAGATAGCCTCAACTGCTTTCCAACGAGTGGCTTGTAAGTTTGAACCAACAACCGTTTGATTAGTTCAGTGCTTACGTGACAGCAGTTATCAGACTGCTTCCTGATATGTATGTCTCCAATTAAAGAAAAAAGTCTAAGGGTCTATACTATAGGAAGAGATTGCAATTAAAATTATGGACTCAAATGTTTTTACTCCAGTATTTTATTACAAAAATTTCAAACCACAGAAGTTGACAATATTGCAGCGAACAATCCATTTACTCAACACCTAGATTCTACAATTAACAGTTGGCTATATTTGCCTTAGTATTCATTCATTAGTCATCTATCAACCCACTTTACAAACAATATACTTCAAAATAAATTAACACTACACATCATATGCCCCAAACACTTTGGGATGTGGACATTAACTGGATTTCACTATTTTTATGTGAAATTTACATACAGTGGAATGAACAGAACTTAAGAGTACTATGTCACAAGTTTTGACAAATGCATACACCTATGTAACCCAATAATGAGCACCCAGTGTCTCTTCCAAGTTAATGTCTCTTCCTAAAGGCATGCCCCACAGACAACTGCTCTTCTGGTTTTTGTCATCATAGCTTAATTTTGGCTGCTCTAGTCTTTCATATAAATGGAATCAGATTCCCATGTGTAAGGGTATTTTCATTCAACATACACTTTTTGAGGTTCATCCAAGTTGTTTTGAGAATCAGTAATTCATTGTATTGCTTAGCAGTATTCTGTATGTATTTTATTCCATGTAAAGAATGCAATTAGTTAACTGTCCATTCTGATGAATCCATTCTCCTACTGACAAACAGGATTTGGGCTGTTTGCCATTTGGAGTAATCATGAGTAAAGCTGTTAGGATGTTTTTGTATGAGTCTTTCCCTGATATAAAAGGGGGCTTCTAAAAGTTGCGTGAAAAAACTGCATTATCTTTTAATTCCATTGTTCTAAGGACTGTTTGAGACACCTTCATATACCTTGACTTCTCCGGGGTAAATACTTAGAAGTGGAATTGCTGGGTTTCAAAGGTATGTTTAACTTCTATGAAACCTATGGATCCTTAATTTTGATACAGAAAAAGTAATGAAAAAACCTAGAGCAATCTTACCCTTTGCTCAAAAGATAGTTGGGTAGAGCTTGCAAAGGGTTTGTCGCAGGGTCTTTGGCAAGCCCTGACATTCCTTACCTTACCTATCAGTGGAGGTGTGGGGCTCTGGGAGGTACCTCTACAGAAATAGTGATGAAAGCTGTGTGGATAATATCTGTAGGGGGCTGTGTTTGGGGCACTGCATGTGATACTGAACAACTGGTACATTGTTGGCAGTTTGAAACCATAAATTTACAGTCTTGGTTGCTGTGAGTCAGCACTGACTTGATGGCAGTGAGAAGGGGTACATTCAGTCCTTTAACTGACCTTTGCCTTTAAGTCAAACAAAACCACACTCCAAAAACAGAAAAACAAATCACTGCCATCCGGTATACTCTGACTGATTTTTCGCAAGTAGATGGTTTTCTCCCAAGGCACCTCTGGGTGGATTTGAAGTGCCAATCTTTTGATTGTTGCTGTGGTTAGGTGCCATTGAGTCGAAAGTTAAGGTTGAAAGTTAGAGTCCATCAAGAGGCCTTAGAAGACTGGCCTGGAGACCTACTTAAAAAAATAAAACAACCCAGCCACTGAAAACCTATGGAGCCCAGTTCTCCTAGGGCACACCTGGGTAATCATTTTGAGTCAAAATTCACTCCAGGATAACTGGTGATCAAAGTGAAAGGAGCAAGTGTGGCAGGCCTTTAAAAAAAGTCATTTCTGACAGCATTAGCAAAGTTTTCACAGCATATGTGGGTGAAGGATGGGTGCAGCTGGCCTCTGTGGGAGTTACTTAGGGAAGGGATCAACATTGGTCTCTCTATGTTGGGATGGGTTTTCAATCTTGCAGTACTACTTCCTCAGTCCCCTATTTCAAGTTCTCCTTAAGAGCTTTTCAAAACGTTGGCCACATCTTCTAACACTCACAGGTGACTCACTTAGGTTCCACTCAAAGACAAACAACCCGAAAGGAGTTTGTCAACCTCTTGCCAGAAACCTCCACCAATCTGTATCTAATCTTTCTTCATTACCTTCAATTGCCAGGAAGACGCAGATCCTATCTTCTCAGGGGCCTACCTGTATTGTCTCTTCTCATCCCCTTGGCTCTTCACCCCCCCAAAATTTAAAGCCTCCTCAAATTTCTTCCCAACCTTTCTCAAGATCAGGTATTGGGATTACTGCAAGCTCTTTGCTCTCATGATAACAAAACATCTGCAGTGTTATTTGTCTACAGACTCATTTTGTCAAACCCAAGAACCACCCGAAACGGGCTGCGCAATCTTTTAATAATATATATGGATGGGATTCTGAGGATGCAGACAATAAAGTCATTTATATCCTGTAGGTCGGAATGGCTGACTCACTGGGTTGAGAAAGGGTTTCTCAGTTGTGTACAAATAACTTGGTATGTGTTTTCATTTTGAAAGAAGTTATGGAAAGTTACTACTGCGCCACCAGCATGAGAACAAGTGGGGAAGCATGTGATGACACAACTAATCAGCCCCTCCCGAGCCGGAAAGGGTCCACATCACCTACAGGGCCCTGAGCAGCCCTTGCAACTGGATCTGGTTTACGGCTGGGGGGGGAGGCTCGGTCTCCAACTCTGGGGGCGGAGGGGAGGGGAGCCGAGCAGCTCCTGGCCAATGGCAGCTCTTGAACTTACACCTCGAGACGTCAGCGCGACTGCAAACGGATGTCACACAGCTGGCTCGGAAGCGTCTCCTCCCGTCCCAGAAAGGCGGGGGCACAGCGGCCTCCACGAAACCTGGGGCGCCGGCAGTGAGGAGCGCGAGCCGCGCCGCGCACCTTCGCCAGCCGTCCCCGAGCCGCGCGCGGGCCCCGGTGAGCCCCGGCGCGCCGGCGTTCCGGCGCGGAGCGCGCAGCCGCAGCTGGCTCCACCCCCTCCTGGGGGCCACTGCTCGCTCTCGAGCCGCGGAGCCAAGTCGCGGGCGCGCGCGCCGCCGGCGGAGCCGCAGTTAAAATGGTCCGCACGGGACCCGGCGCTGCCCCCGCCACCACAGACTGACCGAGCCGCTGGGCCCGGATTGAGTCTCTCAGCCGGCAGGCTCGCCCTCGCCCCCCCAAAGCTCGCCCCCGTCATTCTCCCGGCTTCCCTGGGCAAAGCATGTAGCCCCGTGGGGCGCCAGCTGCTGACGCCCACCTCCCAGCGTCGCGTGTGTCCGTGTCCGTGTGTGTGCTGGGCGGGCGACCTGCCGCGGGTCGGAGGCCCAGCCAGCCAGCGGCCTGCCCTGCTACCGGGAGCCCGCCGTTCGGGTCTCCCTGCCACCCGGTCCCCGAGCCCGTCCCCGGGGCCTTCTATATGGGCCACCTTCTCTCCAAGGAGCCGCGTAACCGCCCGAGCCAGAAGAAGCCTCGCTGTTGCAGCTGGTGCCGCCGCCGCCGCCCTCTGCTC